AGAATCAACCAAGCAAACATGGAAAAACCTCAYAGACTGCATTAATTAATAAATTATAGCTTACCAATTCATAAGCCTACTGTCTTGGGAAGGTTTAAAACAAAGCCCTGTGCTCTAGCTTTCTATTTCTCAAACAATGTCATCTCCTGCTGTGCGTGCTTCAACTCTATGTCCTGATAGCAAGTGGCAAAAAAAAAAAAAAAAAAAAAAAAAAAAAAAAAAAAAAAAAAAAAAAAGAAGGGAGAAGAAATAACTTCAGTTACTCCAGGTTTGATAAAAAAATTCTTCTATGAAGAAAGAATGATCTTGTCTGAGAAAACAGTCTTCCAAGTTTAGAAAACTGTACTCAGAGCTATAGGTTGAACTCTGCCACTCCCCTCCTGTTCAGCTTCAGACATATGACTTACAGCTCCACCATTTGCATTTTCTAGGTGTGAAATGCTGCGAGAGATGGAGCAGAGATTTCCAAGCCTTTGCTTGTCCTCTTGCACAGACTGGCTTTCCCAGCAGCCCACACTGCCTGGGGGCTGTGCCCATGAAAACCCATGAAAAAAAAGGAATAGGGAATGAAGGAAGTGTTCTGGTGCTTGCATCTGCKACCCTACAGCAGAAGGGTGAGGACACATATTTGGGTGTTCAACTTCTCACTTTCACCACTGCAAGTCATGAGTGACAACATCTTGGGCACCTCCCGCCACCGGCCACACTGAGGGGGTGTGAAGGGCTTGAACAACAGTCCCCATCATGTAGCCATCACTCACTGGGTTAATGTGTCCAGGCAGGATGAAWACAACAGTTCTGGAGTGATGTGTCACTGGGATGAGGGTCCCAGAGGTGCAACTCACAACTGCAGCCACTCCATCCCCCAGCAAGCAACCTGGGTACAGGAGAGATGACAGAAGAGGCTTTTGTGTCGCGAGGCAGAGAGCTGCAATTAAAACTGCAGATGGAGTAGTGTCTCCTGGAAATTTCAGATGGTGTCATCGCCAAAAATTTTGAAGGGTATGCAGTGTGAGGCATGGTGTTTGAGGAACTCAAAAAAATGAGCATGGGTGATGAGCTCAGGAATCTAAAAGTTTAGATGACCTTTTCCTGGTCTTCTAACCAGCCAGGTTAGGAAGGTAAAGGAAGATTAATCAAACCTCAGAATTTCAACTTAGATGAAAATAATACAGTTCAAACATGAGGTAGGCATGGATGCTTGGCAATACTGAGGATGYCAGAGCAGTGTTAGTGCAGCACAATGCAACATGTTGGCATGTGGTAATTTTAAGAGCCAGAACTATCTCCTCCTAAACAATCTGAAATGCAAATATGAAGCCTGCTTCCCCTCCTTGCTCTGTGTTTTCTTGACAGYCACAGCCAGGATCCAGCCAGTAACGTGTCACCTCAAGAATGTGTCAATACATTGCAGAGGCTGAATCCTGACCCTCATGTGTATGGGTGTGCCTTCCTTATGCAGTCTTCAGGACAAACTCTGGTTTCTCAGACTAAATCAGCCCTACCAACAGCCAGGAGGATGGGAAGCYAAAGGCTTCCTAAGGATGAGATTCTTGGCATTCTTATAGTATGCAGCAYAATGGTAAAAAAAACCACCTGGTTGGCTTGGCCAAAAACAAACACAGGTGATTTAAACTAGATTTAAACTAGAATCCCTCCTAATCCAGTTCAGTTGCATGGCAAGGACAAGAACCTGATTTCCACCACRCAACTAAGCAGTCTCATTTAAAGTTCAGACTATGCATAGCTAAGAGTGCTTTCAGGATCTTCTCCAGCACTCAACAGGGGCTACAGATTGTTTCCTACACCCTTTTCCAAAGAAATGAAAATAAAAATCTGTTTTGCATGGAAATGGGATGCAATTCACACATTATTAGGATTTTGCTCTTTTAAAAATTGCTGTGAGAAGAACATTTGAACTGACATTTGAAGAAATAAAAGGGACTTTTTTTTTTCATTTTTAGATACTAAATAGAGTATATTAAACCTACTSTTACTTATTTTTCTAGACTCTTCTTACTCCTCCCTACACACTCCATCCTCTCCTGTTTTACTAATGTAAATCCTTCAAATTTGGAAAGATCACCCTGGTCTCCTGTCCTAAATGTAAGAAAAAAAAAAGCTTCAGGATTTAACAAAATTTCTCTATTTTTAAATTGAAATCCCTTACCAAGATAGCAAAACATTCTGGAAACAAAAATCTTAACCAACATGGATGAAAAATATGTTTTAAAATGAACTGGGTAGTTGCTTTGTTTTGTTTCAGTTAAAGTTGCATTSCCTAACTAAAGGTCCATAGGTGCTGCAGACTCCATCATGGTGTAGTAGGTCAGCTCATAGAGATCATTTCACCTGAGTGTGCTCTGTGAACTGCCTGGGTAAAGGATTTCATCCTCAGTGCATCACAGGCTTCAAGTAGTACTAGAGAAAGCTCTATGTAGAGATATGCATGGAACTGCATGTAGAGAAGATGTTGGCTGTTGTTATTGCATGATTTCCAGCCTTCCTTCACTGAAAGCCAAGAGCAAGAAGCTGCTCTGCTGCAATCCCTGTCATTCCTGTACAGTCACAAAGGGTCAACAGAGCTGATCCACGTTTCTTTGGTAAACTACACTGGAGGGGTACACAGCCCTGCAGCATGTTTCACTGGGACCAGGGATGCTGCAGCACTCGCTCGGATTCATTATCCCACGCTGCCAGCAAGCATTGCAGATAAATTGGAGAGTGGGTAAACAAGGGGAGAATACAGTGTCCAGCTCTGTATCATAATTGAGATGCATCCATCTTTATATGTTATATGACCGCACTTAAACATATTTTTAAATGCCTTCCTGAGTGCATATCATATGAAAGGAAAGAGTGGATGGCCTATAGTAATGCATATTGCACGCCACTTTGGCAATAGGTTGTGGAATGAACAGGATGCCCATTCCAGCTCCAGTAAGCACTGGGGCACAACCCTTGTCTTTGCTGGATATAGCCTGTAGCAGAATTCTTCCCTTGGGCAAGGCTAAAAAGCAAAACATGAGAAGGGTATTGAAGGGATTTAATTGCATAGCTATCAAGCCTTAGTGGCAGTTGTCCATGCATGTTCTCAGAGCACAYGTGGGAGTAGAGATGTCTGGATCCTGAGAGATGGGATATTTCAAAACCAACTGTAGTAATACAAGTAGCAATACACGGACGTGGTAATGGAAAACAAGAATGGAAAACAAAAAAAAAAGAGAGGTTTTGAAGAAAAACAAGCTGAAAGGGACCAAGCAAGCTACACGGCAGCTGCTACTCAGTAAATTACTTAAAGCTGGAAAAATGAAGGAGTATCTAGCTTCAATTGTTGCATTTTCCTTAGAGATGAGCCCCTCAAATGCCCATGTACACATACTTCCTCCCTTGGGATATGGCAATAAAACCTTGCCTTTTGGCCACAGTGACTACTGGAATCATAAAATGTTCTGTGAGTTTTTATACGACAAAGGACCTCTTTCACAGAGGCAAAGCTAAGCAAGAAGTCACTTTGACATGCTGTCATGAGACAAGGAGGCAGTGCACCAGTAAGGAAAATGGGACCAGGAGGTGAGAACACTTGACAAAGCATCTGCCTTGAAAAAGAGCCTGCAGCAAGTAGCACATCCTGGAACTGGCAGTGGGATGGAGGTGGAATATGTCTGAGAAAAGAGACTGGGATGTGGAAAATTAAAATGTCAGGTAGGGTGGCCTTGGAAAGGGCAGGATACGGGAAACAGGGTGATTTCCAGACTGCTTTCCTCCAAGATAATGGAGTTTCCCTATTTTATCAGTGAGAAGTTAATACACCAAACTTATATGCTGCAAAATGCACTTCTGTTCCTCACAGCAGGGACACCCCCACGATGTCATGGTCGGTCCCCACGCAGATCTCCATGTGGCTCGGAGACGGGCAGGGGCACCCCACGGCACAGGATGGGGAGAGAGTAGGAGGCTTCATTGCTGTGCACGAGAAAAGGAAGCAGACGATGATCATACAAATGAAAATAAAAATGTGAGCAGTCTGCAGGTAAAAGCGAAKCCAGGCTTGAAATCAAGGGTACCCTTGCGATACTGGCTCAGRTGTCCCCTCACTCCCTTACCTGCCTCCTTCTCCTCTGTTCATAACACTGGGTTCTTCGGTCAGACTGCACACACAGCTTTGTCACTTTCGAATGTCTGATGTCAATGCATCAGCAGCTGTGTGCACACCTTACCTCTCCCTCCCCRCACAGTTGCTCTTCGGCGCTTCTGTCAAGGGCTGCCCTGCAGCAGCAACCTTTTGCAGCACGCCGCGTTACCACTGCACTCACAGTGTCTGTGCGATTGTCCCCACAGTCCCCGCTCTCCCGGTCCTGGCAGCCCCGGCTCCTGGCAGCCCTATCCCTTCCCTGTCCCTTCCCTGATCCAGCCGGGCTGCAGCCCCCGCCTGCCCGTGTCTGCCGCAGCTCCCGCTCCCTGCGCCATGTGCCGGCGTCCTTCCCGGCGCTGCGCTGCTCGCTAAGGACATGCCGTGGCACAGCTGTCTGCCTCCTCTGCTGCAGTCAGCCAGCCTTGGATCACTGTGCACGCTGCTGATGTCGAGCTCCTGTCGTGACCCAGCACCCCATAGGAGGAGCAAATGAGCTGAGACGTCAACGCAAAAAATTATAGCCATGCGAGCTATCCCTCTGCTCAGCTGCTTGGAGAGTGCCTACATGGTTTGTGTGACAGCACCAGCGCACAGAAGCAGCACTGAAATGCAGTTAGCAATACAGCTGGGAGACAGGCAGCCAGGCAGGCACTGGTCCAGTGACTAAAATGATCGTACCGTGAGCCAGCCTGCAGTGCCTCCAAAAGTGGCTGACTGCTACCCAGGAGCTCGGCTTTCTTTGCGATTACTCCAGTTTCCCCCTGGTGACTGCAGTGTGCGCTCCGTTTGGGGTTTTGTTTGCCTTTTTGTTTCTCCCTCCCACCCACCGGTCTCTCTCCTCCCGTGTCCTTCTCTCCAGGATGGCGGAAGCAGAGTTGCACAAGGAAAGGCTCCAAGCCATAGCAGTAAGTCAGTTTCCTTTTACTTGCTCTTTTGTCCATAGCCGTGGGTTGTTGGAGGGAAGGGGGGATTCCAGCACAGTGGCTGGGAAGCGCCCGGAGAGCCTGGCTTCTGCGAAGTTGTGTGTGGAATTCCCAGTTCGGGAAATGAGTGGTTAAAGTCTGCTTTGCGGGATTTGGCGGAGAAAGAGGACTCTGAGGAAGAGCGTTGAGCTGACACGTGCAGAAAGAAAAATGTGAATGCACAGTGGCATGCTTTAAAGATTGATGGTAGAGAAGAAAAGAAGGAATAAAYGGGGAGGAGGGGAGATTGCAGGAGAAAAATCAGTACTCTGCTGAAAATACATTTTTTCACAGTTGGAGGTTTTGCTTAGCTGATGAAGAAGTCAAGCAAAATTATCTGCTGCAGGATGGCTTTTAGTGCAGAAAATAATTGTGATGTTGCTAATTTTAAGAGAACTGAACACAGACATTGCATTATCAAAATTGTGTAATTGTTTGATCTACTTGTTAAACTGTCACCTCAGCTCCCGAGCTGAGCACAGACTTTCACACAGATTCACTGCTGAGCTACATCAAACCAGGGGTAAAATCTAGGCAGGATTTGGCCCCTGATTTTGTTTTCACATTTAGTGGAGTAACGTGGATTGAGCTATGCGCTGAGCTGGTGCAGACCTCAGAGGAACCAGGATAGTGACACCTGGTGAGGAAGGGCCTGGGTGTTTAGGATCCACCATCATCCTGGCATACAGAAACTGCCAGCTCATCTTGTAGCATGTCACAGGCCCCGTGTCAAAAGGCCTGTGTTTCCGTGGGCACTGCCAGTCGGACAGCCCCATACAGCCTGCCCTTGTTCAAGTGACACCCAGCTCTTCTTCTTCCCCATGGCTGAGATGTTGATGCAGCTGTGCCAGTCCCAGATGGATGGCACGGTCCGTCCCCGTCCCGGGACCACACACCTGGAGCTCTGAAGGGAAACAGAAGACAGCAGAGATACATGGATTTTAAGTTTTCTTCCCCAGCTCCCCCAGTGATCAACAGATGCTATGTTTTTCTGTAGCTGGCACAGGTTATGGATTTCTTTTGTAGTGTAACAGGAATGGCTGCTGCTGCTTCTGCTTCTGCTGCTGTTCCAAGATGTTTTCCTGAAGTCCACTATTCTGCTGATAGGTCCCTGGAGATTTAATATGACCAGATTTAACAGACATAAATTAGGGATTTCTATTCTCTAAAATACTAACTGTAAAAGAGTAAATGGTATCATTTGATATGGGGAGGGGGGAAGCTACAACCATTTAATTTTCAGGCAGTGGAAAGCAGATGCATATTTTTAAGCTGGTTCAACAGCTTTTCTATCAACATAGGCATTGSCATATCTCAAGTGGAAATACTAGGAATGTTCCCCCAGAGGCAAACCTCACCACTGCCTGTCATTTGGGACTCCTTTATGGCAGAACTGTGCTGCAGAGCTGCTCCATGCTTTGCTGCAGTGCATAGCTCTGAAACACTTCTGTTTCCACTTAAAAAAAAAAAAAAAAAAAAGCCTTACATTATTGTTGTTTCTTTTGACTCCTATATAACAAAACACCAGACAGCACTCATTTCCACATGGTGTCCTGAAACCTTTCACCAAAGTAGATCAAATGCTCTGGTTCTTAGTGCCCTGCATTTCACACCAATGAGGCCATTACGGATTTAATATTATCACCTGGTGTGTTGCAGCTTTACAGCAGCTTTATGCTGGCGTAATAGAAGGCCTTGAGTCTGGACCTTCACTTTCTCTACATTTTTCCTTTTTGGTTTCTATTTCTGGTAATAARTAAAACATAGTAATGTAAGCAGTTAATTAGAATTTTACTTAAGCATAAAAAATATTCAGCCTTATTTTAAGCATTGATGGGTGGATCTATGAACCAGCTTGTTTGCTTACCACTGTGCAGAGCAACAGGTTTTCCATATAAGCTTGTTAGGGGACTTTTCTCCTATGCTTGGGCTGCTGCAAAAGCTTGTCAGAATGCAGAGTAGTTAATTTCTAGTGTAAGCTTTGCTCCATCAGAATGAGTGACATGACACGAGTWGGGCATTTCCCTCCTGCCACTGGATGGCGAAAATAAGGTCAACCCTTTTAAGGCTTTTCTCAGAAGAAGAAAGAGATGGCATTTCAGTTCAGCCTGGTGTGTTGTCTGTTTGAACACGCTGCAGTATCTCTCTGAGATGAGCAGAGGCTTACTCCAGCATTCTGCAGTCTAGCTGGTTGAATGCTAGATGTACATGAAGAAATCCACTTGCACTGGGTTCTCTACACCCTGCTCCCTGTGCGTTTGCCTCTATAATTGCCRAGGTAAATGAGTTTGCTGGGAAATGTGCCGAGTAAATTTTAAGTGTGCATCACTGAATATTTAAAGAAAACAAATCCAAAAATAGAAATATGAACTTGAACATCAGGAGGCTGATGGTTTTTGAAGCATTTGATTTTGTACTTTGTTACCTTGACTTATCACAGTTTTAATGTATGCTTCTCTGGCACAGAGGCAAGTGTCATAGGAAGAGGAAAARAAGGATTCTACTGTTAGGAGATTAATCTAAACCTCAGTGAAYGTGAGTTAGCCACTTGTTTTGTCTGCAGCAAGTACTCAGCTTCTCTGTGCATTCATGCTCTATCTCTAAACTCTGAATAATGGAGTTCGCCTTTGTCTTAGAGAGCTGTTGGCAATGCATGCAAGATTGAACCGTACTTGGATTCCATGGTTTACCAAGGCAAAAAATACCTAAATAAGTCCTTAAAAAATGGAGTGTATGATTTTAAAACCAGAAACTCTTCAAATGTGTATGTTTTAATGTAATTGAAATGCTTAAGCTGTGATTTTTCAGATCTTTCTGTAATCCCTAAAATTGACACACTGGCTGTAGCAAGACATAGAGCAGTGTGCAGTTCTGGTTTGAGAAGTAGGAAAATGTGAGACAGCTACTAAAGASTGGAACCTGGTTCTCTCTGCTTGGGAGGAAAACATAAACTCTGTCCTGAAGAGGCTCTGTGATGACTAGGAGTGACTGGTTTTCTGATCCTTACTTGAGCAGAAGTCACATCACATCTTCCAACTTGGATGTAATTTGTGCTACAGACAGATACTGGTACATTTTTTTGCCATGACACACTGCTCTCAACATCTGCTTGATCCTGAGCCTGAATCACCAGAGCATCCATCTGCTGCTCTAGCAGCAATTGAGCTCACTTATAATTCTGTGGGAAGATCAGGACCTTCAGGAGGTGCACAAGAGATTAGAAGAGTAGATCTGAYGCCATCTTCTCTCTGAGCTTGTTCCTGTATAGGGCACTTCAGGGTTTGTGTCTGCTTGTTTCCTGAAGGGGATTGGTGGGTAAAATTTTGGGAGAAAAGGAAGCATTTTTGTGGCTTTAAAAAATATGCTGGCTGCAAGTTTCTCAGACGTTGAGAATGTAAACAGTGCCAGACGCCGTGGCCTGAGGACAGGTGAGCTGWGGTAATTTATCTTATTTTGGATAAATAACCTGTGTGGCCCCAAAATTTATTATATGACCCATTCTCTATGACTGTGATCTCAAGACTGTGATCCAAACATAGACAAGCATTTACAAAAAGTAAGTATTTTCTGCCCTTTATCTAGCAATCACAAATCTGGGAAGTGGGGTGTTGAGTACCAGTTGGTGCATCTGGGATACAAATGCACATACGATGCAGTGAGCATGCATTGTCCATACATCAGGTGAATTCAGTGCAGTCATTCATGGACAGCACTGAGGAGAAATTGTCAACTAAAGCAACAACTAGCACTGGAGTTGGAGGAGGTTTCCAGGTTCAAGAGATGTCCAGCCTAGAGATTCAAGTGGGGAGCTACTATACTGATTCCTTAGCAGATAAAAACAACAGCAGTGATGGTCCCTTACTAACAAGTGCCCAGCTCAGAGAGCCACTGGCATTCAATTAGCCATGCCAAAGATACCTGCTGTCAAACAAGACCATTCTTGCTTTTTCTATGAGGGGATGAATTTGTTAAGCTAAACCTAACATTACTTAGATGTCTTCACAGGGTTGACTTACTAGGGCAGGATGGTGTTGTTTAAAAATAGCCCCCTCCTGCACCAGTGTGATCTCTCTTAGATGGATTAAGGASTTGCCTTCTGACAGGTCTCAAAAAGTTGCTATTCTTGAGGGACGCTGCTGTTCCTTGAGAGCAAAGGCAGGGGAAAACCTACAGGAAGCAGCTTTTCAAGGTTGAAGGCGTTCTCTGTTTGTATGTTGATATAAATAAGAATTGCTGACATGCAGGTAACATAAAAAGTGGTGGAAGAGTTGGATATACTACATAAAGAGAGCAAGCTGGATTATTTGGTATAACTGGATCTTCCATTTATAGAAGTACTCCACACCTGTGTACAGCTGGCATTAGGAGAGACTGGTTTGGGTTTGTGCACCCAGATTTAAGGTAGTRTGGGACCGGCAGTACCGAAGAGCACTCTGCAGTCTGAGCAGCGCTGCCTTTCACAAGGAACAAGAGATAGTGTGGGAGGTAATCTAACAGGGACAAGGAGGGGATCCTTGTCCTGCACAGGAGGTTCGTTTCACTCCAGTTAAACGTACACCAGGTGGGATTCTAGAGTTCTCCTAAATGGGAGGTAGGTGCGTTCATGTTTACATATAGCAGTGCACTAATTTCTCAACAGGTGTTTGAGAATAATAATACAATTAGAATAGTAATAAAATCTTTTGGAAAGACAGTACTGGTATAGTTTCAGTATCACAGTTGCTGGTAAGCTAAGCATTTTGTATTTCTGGGTTGGACATTCCACATTGGCACTGTGCATCATGTGGTGTCCATAGATTTCAGAAAATTTATTAACAGAGAAGCCAATGTCCTTTCTGCCTCTTGTCACTGCCCTGCCCAATAGCTATTACTCCACAAAATGAAAACCCATGACTAGTACATCGTACCCAGGGTCATTTTACTGCAACATTGCTCCACAATTTTTGTGAGTCCTTCCGGAGATCATCATCATGAAAATTAGAAACTGGTCTTGAGAATCATGTAGAAAAATGTGGCAAATTCATTTAATCAACAGTTTATATTGCTATTGTGATAGTTAAATACATTACTTCCCAATGCCTTCATTTAGGAAGCAGTGCTTTTGTCCTTCAAGTTACGCATGGGATCAGATCTGCCTGTATTCAGTTGTCTTCAGACATAAAGCCTAAAGGGAAAAATAAAAATGCAGCAAGATGTAAAAAAAGTAAGCCAGCTGTGACTTTCCTGCTTGGAAAATAGGTGAGTGAAAAGAATCTGCAGAAGGCATAAGTGTTGTAGAGAGAGAGGATAAGTAAATACTAGTCACACGTTTTGGCACAAGGATTAGTTGGTATCTAAGGAAGGTAAAAGTTGTGGACAAAACAGACTAAAAAAGTTCTCCCTCCAATGTGTTGTTAAGCTGTAAAGCCCAGTTACAAAAGATGTGGTGGATGCTGGAGTGCACTTGGGCTGGAGGACAAACCAGGCATGCTCATGCAAGTGGAATCCATAAAGGACTTTCTTATTAGAGGCCATTTTTGAGTTGTACATTACTAGAGGCTGGCAGTGAAGTTTTATATGTTTGCCATGCTCCTGGTTCTGCTTTCCGCACCTGATGAAGTGCATCTATSCTGTGTACTCAAACATATTCCTGGAGTAACCAAAACTGGAAGTTTTGACATTAAAGAAAGCCCTCTTTGCAATATTCATTTGAATTAAAACTCATTTAAATATTGCTACATAATTTAATCCAATTTTTCCGTTCATGTTTTTCCCCTCATTATCTTATTTGCAGTATTTATGGCTCTTAATCACAACCATTCCTCTGTCATCTCACTCCTCAGTGGTCCCAACATCAAATTACCTGAAACAGAAAAACTCCTTCTGTACCTGTAGTTGTCCTCTTTTTACAGTCTGAGCTGAAAGACTTGAGGGCTAGTGAGACTTTGTCATTCCACAGTACTCTGGTGAGGAACACCTGGCAGARTTAGGAGAATCTGCATCCTGCTGCAAATATTTCCAGGGATGGATTCAGCAGGAATACACCAGGGGCTRGCACAAACTAAATCTAAATTAGATCTATATTGTGAGCATGACACAAAACTGCAAGAGTCCTGTGAGCCCCAGTGCAAATCAGCCACAGGAGAGAAATTGTTCGTTTGTATTGCTGCAAAGGATGAAGAGAGGTTTCCCTGCACACAGATCTGCAGCCCTGCCCTGGACTGCAGCAATACCATGAGTCAGCTTCACAGCACACCTTACACAGAGAGACACATGCAAGCACAGCTGTATCTTGCCTTTACCTCTGGAGCATATAAAACACTGGGAGTTCATGCACAGTGTAAGAAATGTTACAGCTTTTGCCCATTCTAAGACACAAG